GGGCGGTGACTGCAATCTCGGCTATCTCCCCACCCCCCCGAATGGGGAGATGGCCACAATCATGCTGCGAGCGGCGGGGGGGGGGGGAGATGGCCAAGTTCACACCCGTCTTTCCCCCCCAGCATGCCTGCAATCATGCCTGTCTCTCCCCCACCCCCCAGTGCACTATGGAATGCGCTCCCCAGAGAGGTCCTCCTGGCGCCGTCATTATTTGTTTTTTGGCGCCAGGCAAAGACCTTTTTATTCAAATGTCATTTTAACTGTTAATAGTATTTATTTATTTTATTCTTTGGCCAGGGCAACTTAATTTATACTGTTAATTTATATTATTTTAATGAAGTTTATGTCTGTGAGCCACCCCGAGGCTTCGGCGAATGGGGCGGCATAGAAGTTTACTAAATAAATAAATAAACAAATAAATGATGGGTGTAATTGTGGTCATGCTGTGGGGCAGGGAGATGGCCGTGCTTGGGGTGGGGGGGTGAGATGGCCACAATCTTTGTTGTTGTTTGTCACTTTGCTTCACATTTTTCTGATTAAAAAAATAGTTACAGAACGAATTAACCTTATTTACATTGAACCTTACGGGGAAATTTAACTTGGCTCACGACCAATTTGGGTCACAACCAGAGTCCTGAAACGGATTAAGTTCGTGAGCCAAGGTACCACTGTACACAGAAAAATATGGTAAATGTTTTATACATGGAAAAATATGGTAAATACTATTCTTTGCCTTGTGACTCACATGAGAAACCTTATTTTCTGAATATAAGACTCCCTCAGTGGTACGTTTATTAATAACCCTTTCAGAAGAAAGGCTTTTCTACACCTGTGAACCCATCAGAACCCATAAATTGGAGCTGTGAAGTAGTAATTGCTTGCATTTTTCCAGAATAAGGGTGCTGTGGGTGTGCAGGGAGAAAGTGCAGTGTCTTGTAGCTGAATATATATAAAGCTTTCGATATTAAGAAAGCCTTGATTATTAGTCCTCAGCTCTCTGCACTTGGTGGCACAGCAGCTGCAGAAGTGTACTTTGGTTCAAAACAATTTGGCTTCTGTAATGTCAGACACAGAATGACAGGCAACTGCTTCAGAGTGGGAGATGGTAGCAGATAGAATTATGCAGTCGTTCTGTGATCCTGAAGAGAGAAGAATGCTTTCAGTGAAAGCCTGTTGAAAAGTCACCCAAGGCCATATTGTTGTGAACTGCTTCAACTATTGAGCAGTGTAGAAATGTAATACCCAAATGGAAGGACAAAATGTGAGGATTTAGTACTCAGGTAAGAGATGTCTAGACTGTGTTGCTCACTTATCCTGTATATACTGTAAATCATAAAGATTTAAGCTGAGTTTTAGTGCAATATTTAGGTTGAATATGTGGAGGCCAACTCTAATCCTATTTACTCAGGGGAAAAAATCCCATTGATTTCCATAGAATTTACTTGGAAATAATTATGTTTAGGGTTGTACCTTGGGTACAATTTCCCTTTCTAAAAAGTCACCAAAAGAGGATATGAGCCTATTTAGCTTTTTTCCTAGTGTTGATCTGGTTTTTAAACTGATGATCAGGGGCTTTTATACACAAGATTATTAATCTGTTGCATCTTAAGTTTCATGTCAGAATTGAAATGTGGATGCTCCAAGAAGAGTTTCCTTTCCTGGTTTTCTAGGAAAAGAGTGGCACTGTGATATAAAGAATAGTGCAAATACAAGAATAGAAACCATGTTTTCCTTTGCTAGCAGAAATAATACTCCATGTTTTTTGTTCTAAAATAAAATATCTTGGAAAGTGCTGTTTACAGATAGAAGTGAAATTGGAAAGTCACATCATTGTCTAAAGAATCCATAAAGCAACTATGAGTGGGGAATGACATGTACAGAATAAGTGCCTTGTGTAGAAAAGCTGAGTCTTCCAGTGCACATAGCATTGGTGGGAGGGTGTTATTCAACCAAACACCTGACTTTGTTGTGCAGTATACCGGTCAGCGCAGTTGTAGCTTGTGCCAATGCAGCATGTACCAAAAGGGCCACAGGATATAAGCTACCCTTGGTATGTTTGACTTCTAAAGGAAAAAGCATGACATGTAATACATACATCTCTCTCACAGACAAGCCACACACTGGTTACTTAACAAATGCGGCCCCACCTCCTGGAAGTTAGCCCTGCTCTTTATAGGAAGGCAAAGTGCCATTACCAAACCAGGGTCATGATCTTAAATTTGCCAGGGTTGGGAGAAAAGACCATGCAGGCCAGCATGGTACAGTAGTATGGGGCCTGCAGTATTTGGGAAGGTGCATCCCTTTTTTTAGGGCAATACTATTTTATTCATTCAAGGCGCAATGTTTTAAGAGTTTTGAAGGAATTATTACCCCACAAAATCACCAACTTCACCCTTTTTCATTATTTTGCTTATTGAGAGCATTGTTAGTCCATCTAATGCTTCTTCTGAGCAACACAAGAGAGCACTGGCCATCATGTGATCAAAATGATAATGCACACATGACACACCCATACACACACCCAGGAGACAGCTCCCACATCCCAAGGTTTGCAGCAGTATAAAAAAAAATTAGGAAAAATTCTTTAGGATGTTCTGGCCTATAACCTCATAATGTCTGGGGCTGAAAGAAGTTGTAACCAAAAACACCTGGTGACCCACAAGTTGTGCAGCTCTCTCCTAAGGGATCAGGATCCCAGAAACATCCCTGTACAGACTTAGGAGTCCAGAACATTGAGAGACTGATAATTGAATTGGAATGGAATGTCTGGAAGTGGAGGAGGCAGGGAGACACACATAGATATATAAAGGGTAGGAAGTTCCAGCTTCGCTATTGGATAGGCTTACACGGAGAAGCCATTTTTAAATCCCTTTGTAGGGTGTTTTTTAACATTTAGCCTGAATGCCATGGCCCTTTTTATATTGCTTTCATAGCTGTTTTAATTTGTTGTGTTTTAATTGGTTTAATGTGTTTTCTTTTGTTAATATTGTAAGCTGCCTAGGAAGGCCTCGGCAGGTATAGGCAGCCTATAAAGGAAGGAAGGAAGGAAGGAAGGAGGGAGGGAGGGAGGGAGGGAGGGAAGGAAGGGCGGGCGGGCGGGCGGGCGGGCTTCAAGTATGGCACTGGAGCTGCCCATAAAAATCAGAACAATTGAGCAGTGTGTCCTCTTCCCACCCTCTGACCCGCTAAAAGGTAGCAGCAGAGAAGTCCTGTTTACAAGTATGGATCAGAAAGGTTGCATAGAAGACAATACAAGCAGGGCCCTGAAACATGCCTGCCTAGTACCTATCAAACTGAAAGTAAAACAGGACTTCCCAAAAAATAAGGTGGTCGTTTTTGCAGATTCAGGGGGCTCCTTAGGTGGTCTCATAAGAATAGTTGTTTGTCAGCTAAAAGAAAATAAACATTAAATTGTCTGGAAAAAAATCCCTAAATGACCATGCCCATTTTCCTGCTCTCTGCATATGGATTCTTTTCCTCCTTCTTTTCTAACTAGAGGATTCTGTGCTGTTCTCCCTCTGCCCTTGGACTGCCTTCTTGAGCACGTTTCTCCTGCATCTGAAAATGAAGAGTGTGGGGTTGCCATGGGCATTTTAGAGCTTACACAAGCAATCTTATATGTTTTAATGCAAGGATGGGGTCCTTTTGCCTCTTGGCCTTTTTCCAATTGTAAATGTACTGAATTAAAGAACTCAAATGTACAGTCTGACACACACGTGTCCATAAATTCCTTAAACACATAGGCATAGACAGGTTGCCAGTTACATACAAGTTCCTTTTTTTCCCATGCAGGCACAAAAATAATTATGTGTGCATATAATGGCATGTGCATTTTTTCTCCAGTTTCCTTCCTTCACTGTCAGCTTTGTTGGGATTTGCACAGCGCATTAGGAGAAAAATACTGACTTCACAATGCTTAACCTACATGGTCTATTGAAATGTGCTGTAAGAATGAAAGAGAGGGAAAAGTTCTTTGTTTCTCATGGCATTTTAATTTCTTCCAATAAACTCCCTTGAGCCAAGCACTACTAGTTTCCCTTAGAAATCTCACATAAGCCCACAGAGATTAGGGTGGAGCCAAATTAATATGGGGCTTCGGAGGAATCAAATGGTGCCAGATGAAATACTAAATACCGGGGCCTAATTCAACCTATCCTATGAGAATGCTAATATCTAAATACAATTAATAGCAAACTGCTTGGCTCTGGGGTGTGTGTGTGTGGTTTAAATGGAGTTGAATCTCAAATATCACATATACATAAAATATCTCTACTCTGAGGTAGTCACGTTGAAAATCTGTCCATTCTTCAGGGAGTTCTATTTCTGTTCTAAGAAACTAGCTTTAAATATTTAAAAGACCTAAAGCACACAGCAAATAAGAGAAAGATAGAATTGTGGCAAGCTTTCTGTATGACGTTCTTGCTCTTAATGATGACCCACTCAGTCTGTTGTTGAGGTCATCCCTGGCAATGAAGAAGTAGAAGACAGAAATACATTGTTGCCTTTTGTGACAAATACAAGGACCCTCTTACCATATTGCTGGAACAAAGGCATTTTGCAGCCATTTCTGTTATGAGTAATGAATCAGACTATAACAGATGGCACAAAGAGTGGAAAAACCAAATGTCTATGGAAGATCAGAGAAACCGTGTAAATAGCATATTCTATGGCAACTGCTTCCAAAGGTCTAGGCCAAGAAGCTTTATAAAGTAGGTTTTTTCTCCTCTTAGGCCATAAATTAGTAACATAGGTATATGAAGGCAAGCAGTCTAATATTTTTTGTGCATTAGTGACTTTAGGGGAATTACTTTGAAGACTTCTGATGTGATAGCCAGGAACTTCTGCTACTAGAGTAGCTGTTGCAACAAGACACAGAATATAAAACAAGTATTTGAGCCGTGGGCAGAAATAAACAAGTTGTTGCTCAAACTTCAGTAGCTCTCCAAGAAAACAAGCAGGTTTGTTTATTAAGGTAAAGCCTCTTATTTCTTTTGCCACAGTTGCACTAGGTCGTAATCAGCCCCTGAAAAAGGAAAAACCAAAATGGAAAAGTGATTATCCGATGACAGATGGACAGCTGCGGAGCAAGAGAGATGAATTTTGGGACACAGCACCTGCTTTTGAAGGCCGCAAGGAAATCTGGGATGCCCTGAAGGCTGCAGCACATGCGTTTGAGAACAATGATCATGAGTTGGCACAAGCAATCATCGATGGTGCAAGCATAACATTACCCCATGGTAAGTATGGTCATAGTCACTCAGATTCTTTGCTTTTACATCAATGAAGTTGCTCAGATTTGCCATGAATTGGACTCCACACTTAGTATTGTTCCTGTAGTGGAAGTGTCCAAAGCACTGTCTAGTCTACCTGTGTTGGATAGGTTTCAATTAGAAATGTTTTAATAAATAAATAAATAAATAAATTATTGAGGCCTGAAGATGTGGACAAACTGCTTGGACAAGTCCGACCCACTACCTGTTTACTCAACCCTTGTCCTTCATGGCTGATCACCAGAGCCTAGGACAGGATGCATACCTGGGTCCAGGAAGTTGTCAGCACCTCTCTGAGGGAGGGGCTGTTGATTATTAGGCCTCTTCTAAAGAAGGTGAACCTGGACTCAAGAGTTTGCCACCAATTATAGACTGGTGGTTAATATCCTGTTTTTGGGCAATGTGCTTAAGTGGGTGGTGACTGAACAACTCCACTTCTGATCTCCCACTTCTCCCCTTATCTTGTGTGTCTTCTCTTTGGTTTGTCAGCCTGAGGGGAAGGCCTGTCTCTTCTAGGGAATGGGGGTGATTAATATTAGCAACTTCATTTGAAAAGCAAGATAAATATTTATCTGAAAAACAGGACAAAAATATATTAAACCTGAAATACATGTTTTATGCCATTCTATAATCCATATTCTTAAGTTGGTTTATCAGAAAAACTAAAAGCATTAAAAAGTGCATGCAAAGCACTACAAAGGCTACAAGTTTTACCATCATCATAAAGCAGTAAAATAAGAAGGTCTATACCATGCACCAAAATACAACAGAGTTGGCTCATGGCCCAGAGGGTGTTCCAGAGTTGGAGTGGCAGAACCAAACAGGCCTTCTCTTTGGCAACCACTCAGCATACCTAAGATTGCAGAGCACAAATCTGCTGAAGATCTTAATGTGCCTCCAGGTAAAAATGGAAGCAAGGGAACTTTGAAGTATAGAAAAGTTGTGTGTGATATTTTTGAAAATGTTTAATGTTTGCAAATTAGTGATGGATATTTTTCCATTTAGTCTTGAAAGAAATGAGCTCTGATTCCTTTAAGTTGTTTAACAGTTGTCACATTAGCTCTCTGAAACTTTATGTCAGAGTATCTTTTTGTGAATGCAAAGCAAGAGCTAAATATGTTTAAGGCAAGCTGGAGTGTGCTTGCCCTAACCATGGACATATTTAGCCTTTGCATTTGGGTAGTTATATTCCCATTTGTTCTTCCCTGTACTGTAATTGTTTCATCATCTTTGTGGGAGGGGGAGGTCACATGTCACATTAGGCCACCCTCAGAATAAGCCACGGTTGGTAGGTTGGTTGGTTGCTGAATAATCCATGGCATGCCAGCACATGATCAGGCTTCTTTGTCAATGTTTTCTTTTTCCCTTTCTTTTGAGCCCACAGTTTAGGGGGGTTTTATTTTGTTTGACCCTTTATCAATATGTTCCCAACTTAAAAAAAATCTTGCTGCGGTCCTTTGTAAGTGTGCTCTTACAGTTATCCCATAAGCAGTCTTGTCCTGTCAGTTCCCTTGTATGTTTCACTTGTAAAAGGGATGGACAAAGTGGAACAGGTAACATTGACAAAACAAGACTGGATATAAGTTAGTTTGCATAGAGTTGCCAAGGGCCAACCGTAGATACAAATTTTGTTCCATAAATACAAATTGCATGTTTAGGCAAAGATCAGTGGACTGTTTCACTGAAAACTCATAGTGATTCCTCTCAAGTTCAGGTATTGGTTTGGGAGTATTTCCCCCCCCCTTCCTCCTTTGATCTTTCAGGTTACAGAACTTTTCAGGGTTGTAACTGCATTGACTCTATCAAAGCTGTCCCATTACAGATAAATACTTGATAAGATCACTGACTGGGTTCAAACAACACAATCCATTTCTAATAGCAAATTCCAGTACTGAGTGCCATTTTGGCTACAGAAACGTAGTCAAAGTGGAGCAACAGAGAAGCAAGAGGGAGTGACTAGCACGTTGGGAGAAAACTCTTTATCTTAAAAATCTTTGTGCATGTAACATGTTAAGGAGTAAATTGGACTTTCTTTACATTTTCATAAGGAACGCGATAGTTCATGCTAACCATTTAGCTGAATGCTTGCACACAACTTGATAATGCATTAAAGGGTTTTAGGTTTACCTTCCTTGGCGCAAACAGCAAAAAGTAATTGTTGTTTGATAAAACAGCACCAATGCAGATTTTGAAACTTAGAATAATGCACTAATCTTACAGTTCTTGAATAAAGCCAACATTCTGTCAGATAAGGTAGGTATTGTGATCTTTGTGTGGTAAATTGAGCGTAAACTCAATTTAGAATCAGGTTTGGTATTTATGAGCATTCTTGGTGAGTATTCTGAAAAACTTGTCTTCTCCTGCAAGATGTCTTTTCTGACTATAATGTTGGTGCAGTGATGTTGTTTAAAGCGTTCACATTGCATTTCCACTGTAGTTTGGTGTCATATATCATGGAGCTGGCACCAGTGATAGTGGAGAGCCACTTTGAAATTCAAGACCTTCCCAACCCTGTCCTGGGACAAACACATCCAAGACCAAGAGATAATGTTATATCTGGATGAGATGCTTTTCAGGTTTTGTTGGGTGTGTGGCGGGGCGGGGTGGGGGGCGGATGCTTACAAATAATTAAGAATTGACCCCAAAAGAGCAGATACTTTCCAAGCAAGAGGCTGTTCAACAGATATAGTAATCTAGGGTAATTCCATGCAAGGCCTTCGTTTTGCAATCACACTGCTTCATGCAACAGAATTTTTTGAAGAATCCAGATGGTGTTTCTTCAGTTTGTAGCCCCCTTGTGTTTTCTCACCACTTCATCCATCTTTTTTTTCTTACTGGAAAAACCTGTTAAGGAAGAAAAGATGGAAACAGCTGCACTATGCTTTTTAATTGTTAGCACTAGGAGCCCTCAGATTGGAAGCACCCGTGGTTCACGGCAATCAACAAGAGTTCGGTCAAGAATATGGGCTTAACCTCTGCACAGCTGTTGGCTTTGGATGTATCAGCTGCTAAATGCTGACCTTGCATGTGTATTAGCATATTTGACACTCTAAGCTGGTAAAGAATTGCAGAATAAAGTGGCTCCTGATTCAAAATTCTACCAAACATTCATATATAAATCCAGTAGTTCCCAGTTTTGGAACTATCAACTTTTGGAAAGCAAAAAGGTAATTAATCATCTCCTTCAGATTTTGCTTCTGAGGAAATAATATGAATACTGGAATCAAAATACACATAACAAATCCAAGTGATAAATGCATATATCGTTACAAATTTGGGATTCACTGTAGCAGGGTCTTAACCTTACTTGCCAGTGAAATGCTAAAAAGCCACAAGGTGATGACAATTAATTGAACAAGTCAGAAGTAAGTGCTTTTACCACACTGCAAATTTTGATTGTAATATTTTTATCTGTCAGGTTATGTATTAATTTCTTAGGCTCTCTGTATATCTTAACTTACTTACAAATAGTTCTGTTATTACTGATATAAGTGCACTATTTATTTGTTGATGTCATTAGCATATCAAGACAGTAAAGATAAGTGTAGCCTAATTGATACCATGCAACCCAGTAACCAGTTCAGACTCATTTTAGTACCAGGCTAGTTTTATCGAAACAGTGAAGTGTAACCAGTTCTGCCCTAGGCATATATAATCTAGCATACATAAGGCAACATTCTGACTGGGTTCTGATGACACACCACAATGTGTTGTGGGTTATTTAGTCTGTAACAAGCCATGGGTTAAATGGCACCAATCATTGCCTGATCAGATTGCAACTCTTATTCAGGGGTTGTTGTATCATGGGAACCTGGCAAGTGTAAGAGGTGAAGGTTGAGCAACAGACAGTGGGTTCTGTGAGGGTTGTTTAATGCTTGCATACTCCCTGCTTGCTAGATTAGCACAATATGACAGTCCCCAAGCAAGGGTTGCTTATTCAGAACGGTGACCCCCACATGCATACGCCAGCTGCACCAACAACTTCTTTAAGCTTTGCAAGTTGAGCTCACTCATTACATTTCTTGTATGAATAAACTGCCCTTGAAGAGCATAAACAGGAAACACTGCATGAAATAGTTTTGTTGATAGAGGAAAGGGGGGATTGTGAGGTAAGAGGTGGTTAGTGGGATTGTGCAACACAAGTGCAACTGAAAATAGATTGTATGCATTTTCCTGTATATGCATATAAGGTTATCTTTGTTGACTTCCTGCCTCTACAGGTCATTTCTGTTTCTTTTTGAATGGCTGCTTTAGGCCCAAATCCAGGTGGACTTTGGATTGGAAATGTTTAAAATAATGTTTATAACGGCCCATTAAATCCGTCAAGAATGCTGTCATAGCCAAATGTAAATTTGTTTGCAAAAGCTAGATTGGCATAGGTTGGAAATAAGGTCTAAGAAAAACATAGTAGGTGTTGTTATTTTGTTTATACAGTGCAATCAGTGTGCATGACATTTTACAGAGCGCCAATGTGATGCTTGGATTGGGGACTGGGAACCAGGAGTTCTAGGCTTCACTTGGCCATGAAGCTCCCTGGACGACATTGTGCCTGTGACAGCCTCTCAGCCTAACCTACCACAAAGAATTGTTATTATGAAAATAAAATGAAGCTGTGGAAGCTGCCTCAGGCTCCTCAAGAGGAAGAAAGGCATGATATAAATGCACTGTAGTAATAATAATAATACAGGGTGCAAATGGACAGCCCTGTCCAGAGGACATACAATATCAAATTTAATGCGAGAGGTTAGAAGTACATACAATGTGCGATTCAGCTGCATACACTGAGACTGATTACCAAGGAGCATGCGAGATTCAGGGGGTTGTGCCAAACGCTTAATGGAAAAGAAGGCTCCTGAGGAGAGATCTAAAAGAAGTAGGAAAGATGGAATCATGTAGGTGTTCTGAGAGGAAGCATCAGAAGTAGCAAGAGAGACAGGGTGGCGTTATTGAAATAAGGAGATCTCTGC